GCGGCTAGCCACACTGATTCCGAGGCTAGCCCTTATATTGTGGGAGCTATTAGGGTGTTGAAGGTGGCACAGCCGTCTCCCACGCCCTCGTTGTTTGACCTCCCAGAGCTAGCCGAAGTTGGCATTGTTCCCACAGCTGGAGCCACATTCTTAAGCTTCCTCTGCGCTAATTTCAGTTCAACCCTCTGAGGGCGGTGCACCTCAACCCCCCCCCCCCCCGCCTATCTCTATGCCAAAAGCAATCAGAGTTGCTTCCAGACACCTTTATTAAGGTCCTAAGGCAGAAAACTCCTCTATAATAATGAGCTGCCAACTTTGGAAAGTCTCAGGTTTCGACTGGACTCCTCAAACATCGCCAGTCCTCCCATCTTCAACGCCTCTTCCCAGACGCTAGTTGCATGTGTAGTATATGACAAGCCTTCACCAAAGGAACTATTCTACTCTCCACGAGTAAAGCTTTCCTCGAGCTGGATCTCAACAAATTCGAAAAAGCCCAGCTCGGCAGTGATCGCGACTCATGCGAAAACCCACCAACGCACAACAGCTGCACGATAATCGACTAGCCTAAGGACAACTCACAAAGACATTGAATTGCCTGAATAGTACTACTGGATGCACCTTTCACTTTCAGCTGAAGTACTCAACGTAGGTCCTCAATCTTTATCAAGCCAGAACAGAACCTTTTTAATCTGTCAAACAATATGACCTAGTATCTGATGAAACAATGCATAACAACCTAACCAACCTATATAACAATCTATGTCTAACAAGTCTGATTCTAAGGGATCCAATGAGCACAAAACCAGATAGTATCGAGGTATAGCAGGTCTGCATTGATGACGAATGCGGATTAGTAACGACACTATTCATATGAACCACGCGATCACCTCAAGTGGAAGCAGATACGCATGGGTCACCCGTAATGAGAATATGAACATACATAAGCAGCTGATAATCAACTATGTTGACATTTCCTCAAGTAAAACACGAATCCTAGCCACTTCTTCCAAAGCGCCGTTGAACAACTCCTCGGGCCTGACGAGCTTTTTTCTCATTCTTATCGATGATGTGTGGCTTCACCTGAACAAGGAGAACTTTCATTCATAAACAAAAACCACTGCAAGTACTCTGAAGCTCACTTTGCCTTCCTGCTTATCCCTGAGCACAATAGCTTCATATTTCTCCGCTTTTCTTCGAAACTGCTCACTCCTCTCTTCGTATTTCTTCAGAAGTCGCTGCAATCGGGAAACAAAATCGGAGCGGTGTGAGCTCTGGAAGCAGATAAAACAATATTTCTCAGAACATATATTCTGTCACATTTTCAGCGATATCTGAAATAGCTCATGCATGGAAATATAATTATCAATTACAATAACAAACCTCAATTTTTGAGAGAAAGGCGAGCGTTATGACCAGGGATTGGACAGACCGTAAATCCTGGCGGAACTGTGTGATCAAGAGAACTGACATTCAACAAGTCGAATTTTTGCGAGATCAAATAGCACCGAAGAAAGCCGATTGAAGTCTGGAGATGTATCGTCGCAATGCAGCGCTCCTAAAACACTTACTGCGTATAGTGAATGAATGCATCACTTCTATTTTAGAAGTCAAGAAAGTAGGAAGATAGCACTACACTGCATATAGTCAGCTGTACGTAAAGGGGGTGCCGGACTTCACTCAACATACATTTCGCTGTTTTGCGAGGTGGAGGTGCTGTAGTGGCAAAAAGCGCGCTTACCAGTGGACGGTTCGGGGATTAAATCCCGAATCAGTTCTCGCCCAGGCCAACCAAGCCTTCTACCCTCCGGGGCGGTGAATTGGTACCAGATTCGTCTGGGAGGATAATAACTGACTTGTACATCGGCTGGCCCAGCAAGTCATTGTACAGTAGGCCACAGCACTCAGTAAGCCGCTACGATTCGAATGGAAGTAGGATAGGTGCCGCATCCCAAAAAGTGAATTAAAAAGAAAAAAAGTGAAAAAGTGATGACGACAAAATTTTACCTTTTATATCCTTACTCATTTTGCATTTATTGACGGCAGATCAGGAGTCACCCACCGACCAATAAGGTGATGTTACCCCACGGCGAGTTTGCAAGGTGAGAGATGGATGGATGATTATGAAATGATTATGCTGAACGAACGTCCGACACCCCGCAGGTCCCAGTTAAAGGCACATCCGCCCTCATCCGCTGTTCAAACGCTTTCTATGGACAAGGTATGGTTCCTGCTCGAGCACAGAGGATGTTCTACTTTTGCACCTCAGGTAAACGTAAGGGAAGCGCGACTCTATGTCGACGAAGCCACCGCCCCTACCACTGGTCACCGCAATGCCCAACTTCAATTTTTAGGTGTCTGATGGTGAGTTTGTTTTGCTACCAACTCTCTCCATTTTCAATGGTGTGACAGAATATAAGGAGAAAGAGTGACGCTGACACTACTAAGCAGGATCTCGTCCGACTACGCCCTTTCCCGCCTTATACACGTACAAGTGCGATTTGGCATTGTGTTCACTATACGGCAATTCGGGCTGGGTTATTCTGCTTTTTCACTGTTTCGTTATTCGCCATCTTGTCGTAGCTGAGCCGCCGTTTTTGAACGCAGAGCGTGCCTCTAAGTGAACAGGACTTCCATGTACCGAATAGACATGGCTGGCTTTACTTCTCCTTCACGTTATCATTGCTGTTGGTCTTCCTTTGACAGGCGATCTTCTCTGTCGGTTCCAAGTTTAGTTGCTGACGGCACAAGCAACATAGGGAATTTATATAGCTTTATATAAAACATGCTACAAAGCGGCATATAAAGAAACAGTTCCCTTGGTCTATCTAAACGGGAAAACGCGGGTAGCAGAACTTACCACTGAATACCATCGAAGAAGGCAACTGAAGTTGGTGACGTATGGATCGTACAGTGCTGACTATTCCAAGCAAAATATCCATGTCAGATTCGAGCTCAGTAGATCTCTGTAGTTGGAAGAAGGAAGCCTGCAAAGCTTTCTTGATAAGGATTGCAACAAACGAAACGTGCTTCTAAAAGTAGCAGTAACAACGTACCTTGACAAAGTCAAAATAAATGGAACCGGGTTCTCTTTTGAAGAGGCGCTCATATAAATGTTCAGCCACGAAGGGCATGAACACAGAAAGCTGGACAAGCGTTGGCTGCACGACGCGATTCAGCGTCGTTCGTATTTCTTCGATCCTGGCAAGGTCCTTATCCCAGAGAGCGCGTTTGGTTGTCTCCTAAATGAAATTTCAATGACTATCAACTAAGAAAGAAGGAACGCTCTCATGAAAGAGAGGAATTAATGCTGAACATTAGCAATAATCAACCAGGTACACATCGCATAAACGACCCAAAGAATGAAGTTTTGCAACTCCATAAAGGCAAGGTGAGGCATGTGCTCCGACATATGTTTGTCCACCTTCTCCAACGCACCTCCTAGCCGAGACAGAATCCACTCATCCTTAAATGTTCAGTTCAGTTTTGTGGCCGACTGTTTTACCCTCAGGAATTCTATGAGGTTACCGACCGCGGGATGCTCGGAGTCCACGTCTTTTAACGTGTGTGAATTTTCGGTTACCGTTTCGACATAAGCTACCATATTCCATAGTTTGTTACAGAATCGAAGTCCCTAAAATGACGAATTCATGGGCTCAGAGCTTTCGGATCAGCTTCTCGGCCGTTAAGCTTTTGGGATGCGCTCAACTTCTATTCAAAATCATAGTGGCTAATTTAATGGCATGATGCCCTATATAATAACTTACGGCGGGGGGGGGAGGTGGGTGGCACGATGCACAAATCAGTTATCACAAGAATGCTGAGTTGTGGGCAAAAGTCGTGCCCCAGGCGGGAGTCGAACCGCTAAAGCGTGAGGTGCGGGTTCGACTCCCGCCTGGGGCACGACTTTTGCCCACAACTCAGCATTCTTGTGATAACATTCGGAACGCGTACTGCGGCGTTAAACAGCAGTTATCATAACAAAAAGCACAAATCAGTGTTCCTGTCCTTCAAAATGATCTGGTAGCGATTGCTGTCCCCGGAGGAAAGAAGGCTCCCTGGCCAAGGCGGGAGCGAGCCCAGCGTTTCGATCAGAGGACTGTGCGAGACTGCGTGCCACTCACCACTACACCACCTCCGCCTTCTTAACGGCTATATCCGGCTTATATTGCAGAACACATTGCTGTTTCCAAAGTTGACGACTGTAGTCCTTTGCAATAAAATATCAAACCTCGTTCGATAGTTCAGCAACTTTCAATGGAATGTCGGAGGCTAACAAGTCGTGACGAAGCAACGCGAAGCGAAGTGCATCGGGACCAGCTCGAGCTATGCCTTCAGGGAAGTGTATCGAAATGGCCGAGGTAGCTGCCTCTTGAAAAACAGGATACATGAATCATGGTCTCCTTCACAAAAAAGCACTGTACCCACCTATTTCTTCTTTTGAAAGATTACTTCGCTCAATCCTCTCGATCATTTTTTCTCGAGAAATGCCATCTACAACATCGAGAGGATCGATTACATTGCCGAGCGATTTGCTCATCTTCTTTCCCGATGAATCTCGAACTAAACCATGGAGAAGCACGGTACTAAATGGAACTTGCCCACCGGACAACCTGGAACGTGTAAAGAAACGGTGCGCTGTGAAGGGTAGTATTCTTCTAGTGAGAGGTACTCACCTCATAGTTACGATAATCATCCTTGCGACCCAGAATCCCAAAATATCCCATCCTGTCTCCATGACATCGAGAAGCGGTGACGATGGGTTGAACTCCGAGCTCGGCCAGCCAGCATTTACTAGGGGAATCAATGAAGAACTGAAATATCTCTTGTAAGGTCCAAGTTCTTATAATGAATGTTGTATGTTAGATGTGATTTTTGAGTTAGGCAGCGTTCACACTTTGCGATGACCCGCTGCAATGCGCTACGGTTGCAAGAGCGCTCTAGGTCTACAAACCCGAACGCAGCCGCCAATGATTCGATCGGTGTCGACCAATGCCTGTTGAGAGAGTACGGGGGAAAAGGAGGGTACGCATTGCGTAATCGCGCAAACTGGTATCGCTCGGCGCTGACAGTTAGAGCTTCGGCAAAGTGCAGAGGAACAGAAGAGTAGCAGATCGTGTGATTACAGCGCCCGCCCTCCTAACATCCTACTCTCTCGAGACACAAGCGGCCAGCACTGATCGATTCCAGTATACGGCTGCGTCAGCGGGTACTGGACTGGAGCACTGCTGCAAAAGTA